TCGCTGCTTCGGGGTTTGCACCTTGCATGGGAGTTCGCGTCCCGTTTGTGCTTATGCCATTTGAGTTCACATTAATTATACATAATATTAATTATATATAATTATATATAATATTAATTTTATGATGTAATGTTCTCAATAAATATATTTGAAAAAACAAATTATCATTTTTGCAAAGTTAAACATATCAGTTTTTAAAGAATCAAGTGTTCAAGACTATACATTGTCGCAGTTCTAAGCGCTCCTATACGTGACTTTCAAAGCAGAGTACGTAACGCTCGACTTGAGCGTTGCATATTTGTGTAATTGTACTTTCACAATACGATAATCATCGGCAAGAATCTTCACTAATTTAATTTTCAGTTAGACATGTGTTTCACAGAAATATATCTGCCTATCATCAGGCGATATACACATGGTTACTTTAAACAAAATTGTTGTGGGAAATAGGAGGAAATGCACTTTTCGGGGCTTGTAATTTTTTAAAGTTTTGGGTGACACGCCCTCAGATCCCCTATATACGAAGGTTTGCGGCTTCGCCGAGAACTTACTTCATTTCAACACAACCGTAGCCTGCGTGCAGTCCCTACTTCCTTTGGAGCCTGCGTAGGCTAACACTACCGGAAACTCATTTAATTTTGTCGTAAAATCGTTGCGCGTTCCCTGGCATCGGGATATACTGCAGTTGAACAATAGGGCCATTTATACGAGCGAAAATAAGTCGCGGCCTAAATAAGCCGCGGCATAAATAAGCCGCGAACAAATCGTATAAACAGTCAATTTGCAATAAGCCGGGGCTTATTTAGGCCTAGCTTTCAACTCTGGGCTTATTTTAGCCGCGGCTTATTGCAAAATGACTGTTTATACAAATCGTTCGGGAATTATTTACACCGCAGCTTATTTAGGCCGCGACTTATTTTCGCTCGTATAAATGGCCCTAATGGTATGAAGGTAAACTAGTCAAGCGAGGATGAAAGTTGCCACTCACGCATGGTTACACGGGAAATTTTAAGAAGTAGACGAACAAAATAAAGGTTTTATGCATGTGTTCTAATTATGTTTCAACTTAAATAGAATAGTGTTGGGAAAGCGGTCACTATTTCAAATACAAAATCGCCTGACAACATCTACTTAATTAGCCATTTCCCAACGTTTTGGGTCTAGTCGCACAAATCCCAAGTTGGAAGGACAAGAAATATGGCAGCACATATATTTAAATTAAATGTTTAATGTGAAAAGGAGATATTTCATTTTTTGTTGTCTGAACGGTTGATTTTGATAGTAGATACTTCTACTCTTCACATATTTGACGCCTGTCACCATATATTTTGGCCCTCTAAACGATCCCAGAATACACTGTGATATATTTGGGGAAAAGGCTAATTAATTAACAGTTAATTTGCGAACTCGAGTCGTGTATGAACTGATAACCGACGAGGTGCGTAGCAGTGAGTATCAGCTACGTACGACGTGAGTAATATAAGTAATAATAATAAGTTCAATTTCTCTGTTACACCAATTATTCACGGTGCTTTACACTACTGTTAAAAAACCAAAAAAATAGTATACTTGTTACGATGTCGGTTGTTGGAACTAGGTTTGCGCGAGAGCCTCGTAAAGTCCTAGTCCAGAACAGGATCTTTGAAGAGCGAAGCCAACAAAGATTATAATGCTATACGACACAATTGTCTCAACAGACAGATCTAGACTTTATTCGACACAGAGATGGCAGTTGAGGCTGCGTAATAGGTGTTCCAAACATTCTCAGACCAAGACTGCTAAAGCCGGTCACAGACGAGCAAGTTTTCTATGACAAGTTTTTCTATGGCAAGTTTTATTTGCCAAGTGTATGTGCGACAAATTTTATATGACAAGTTTATTACTCATGACAACAATATCTCAGAAGTGAAATATTATAATAATAATAATAATAAAAGTTATTTATATAGCGCTTAAATTATATAAATATTCTAAAGCGCTTTACATACAGTAAAATATAAAAGCAATACATAATATCATATGTAAAACATATTACAAAAAGGTTCTACTAATCTAGTTGTCTCTAATTGATGAAATATATAAAAGTTAATAATCGTATTATAAAAAAGCTAATTTAAAAAAATAAGTTTTAAGTCTGTTCTTAAAAGTGTCCACAGTAGCACTTGTTCTAATGTCAAGTGGTAGTTGATTCCATACTCTAGGCCCTGCTACAGCGAAAGCTCGGTCTCCGAAAGTTTTACATTTAATTAGTACGTGGAACCTTTAGAAGATTCTGAGTATCGCTGCGCAGAGCGTACCTAGATAGTGGCTTCAGTTCAAGTAATTCACGTATATATGTTGGAGCCATATCTTTCAGGGCTTTGAAAACTAGTAGAGCGATCTTGAACTTGATCCGATAGCTTACAGGGAGCCAGTGGAGCCGCCTCAATACTGGTGTGATATGCGCATAGCGAGGGATATAGTAAACTACCCGTGCGGCAGCATTAAAAACTTTTTGAAGACGATCCATCTGCCGCTGTGGGACCCCGGACAGCAAAGAGTTACAGTAATCCAGATGTACTGTTACGAAGGCATGAATAAGCGTCTTTGTAGACTCCTCCGACAGGAACTTTCTAATTTGCCTGATTTTATACAGTCCACGAAAGGCTTTGCTACAGATTTTCCCAATGTGAACATCCATAGACATGGTTTCGTCAAGCCAAGCTCCCAGGTCACGCACAGAATTAACTGGCAGGATCTCTGAGGAACCAACATGAACATTACTGATGTTAATCTTGGCCAATTGCTGCCGGGATCCGATAATCAGAAATTCAGTTTTGTCATCATTCATCATGAGCCTATGATGAGTCGTCCAGTTATAAATGTCACTAATGCAGTCCTCCATTGCCTGAATGGCGTGGTCTTGCGATACGGTCGAAATTGGACGAAACGATAGATATAGTTTTGTATCATCCGCGTAACCATGAGCCGTTGGTAGGTGCTTCTTGACAAGATGAAACAGCTGAGAAGTGTACATAATAAACAGTATTGGTCCAAGGCAACTTCCTTGAGGAACTCCACTGATAAGGTCAAAATCTTCAGACTGTTGTTGCCCAATAACAACGCGCTGCTTTCTGCCAGACAGGAAAGACTTTAACCAAAAGAGCCTGATCCGTTATACCAAAGTCATTCTCCAACAAATTAATCATGATGTCATGGTCGATGGTGTCGAAAGCAGCACTTAAATCTAGCAAGACAAGGAGTGTAACTTCTTGCCGATCCATACTTAAGAGGATATCACTTTGTACCTTGAGAAGTGCTGTCTCAGTCGAGTGGTGTTTACGGTAGGAAGACTGACAGGCAGGTAGAGGTGCATGCGCAGAGCAATGATCAAGGATTTGCGAGACAACGACCTTTTCAGCTGTTTTAGAAACAAAAGGCAAGTTGCTGATTGGACGAAAGTTCATAAATACCAAGTCAAGACCAAATTTCTTTAGAATTGGTACAATAAGCGCAACCTTCCAATTTTCAGGAACAGTACCACTTTCCAGAGATGAATTGATCATTTTAGTGATAAGAGGCGCTAGTTGGTCTACGCACTTCTTCACTAACCAAGTTGGAAAGGGATCCAGATGACAGCTAGCGTTAGATGATGACATAATGATGTTGCGGACTTCAACTTCTGAAACTTGAATAAACTTATCGAGCCTAATAGAAGGTGATGGAATGGAAAGGTCTGGAGGTGTACTGTCGCAACTCGCAATTTTCTCTCTAATAAGAGAGATTTTTCGGCAAAAGTATTCACCAAACTCATTTGCAAGCTGTCGGGGATGGTCGGAGTGCGGGAGAAGATTGTCAGATCGCTCCTTACATAGAGATCTTACCAAACGTCTTTAACAATGGCACCAGGTGAGGAAATTGCGAGAACACATTCAGCAAAACAGTGATCAGAAAGAAATAGCGACGGTCTTGGAGAAGCTACCATAACATCATTCGACGAACGAGTAATGATAAGGTCAAGCCAGTGTCCAGAACGGTGAGTGGCAAAGTTTACATGTTGTACAAGTCCGAAAGTTTCTAGGAGCTCAGAAAATCGACAAGTGTCAACATGAGCTAAATCATCCATATGTATGTTAAAGTCACGTTGAGGCGGTTGGACAATTCCATCACTCTGAAATCTATTTTAATTTGTTAATTTAACAGTATTTGATCAATGGTAATGTACAGGCATACCTTAGTTCACGGCTCGCCATGGGTGCTGCCACTGATTGGGTTAATCAGGCTTTTTGCCCATACAACTTGTTAACAGGCCCTTTAAGTGTCTAACGCCAGACGATTTTACTCGCTATAAAGGGTTAGTGCTGTTAATCACTGGATTAATCAGGCTCTTGCTCATGCATCTTGTTAACCCTAAATAGCAATGAACCCTATTGTGGCCTACTTAATTTATGATTTTACTCTGTCTATAATTACGCCAGATTATTTTACACTGCCTAATGTCAGTGACAAAGAGGAAACTGATACTCAATTGGTTAAATCTAGCAATTTCCAAGTCTGTTTGGAAGCAATGCTGTTCTCGTAAACTCTAACGCCCTCGATAGCTCTGGTACGTGCAAAAGGTCGTAACAATGTTCACAACAACAAACGGTTTTGTATGTTATATTATATTATTGTTCGATTGTCTACAAAAGAAATGATTACATACATAAATAAACAACACATAAAAAGATAAACTAGAACTATTAACGAATATCAAAGTCTATAAATTACCCTTTCTATACGTTTGTCTTTTGAAAGTATACGTGCAAATACGTTCGTTCTACGTTTCATCAAAACTTCTGACTCTCACTGCGGTCAGCGGTTACTTAAGCTTAATACTTCATGACCTAACTTAACACTCCCCCTCAACTCAGACATCCCATTTATTGGGTGATTGAGTTTTCAGAGTTGTCACCTTCGTTTTCTTCCAGGAGACACAGTCTTGCTACCGGTCTAACGTAATTTCCAGACGGGGTCTTCACTTCTGCACTTCGGACTCTTTCGTCTTTGCCAGGGAACGAACGCAAAACTCTCCCAGTGAGCCACATGCCACGGGATACATTAGGTTCTACAACCAGTACTAAGTCGTCCTTCTCCAAATTTCTCACTTCTTCTGTCCATTTGTTTCTTTTCGTTAATAATGGAAGGTACTCTTTAAGCCATCGATTCCAAGACATATTTGCGAGGACTTGTGCTTGCCGATATTTCTTCCTCGAGTTTATCTCACGATCACTCACTACGTCGAAGGGTGAATTCAGGTTGGGTCGATGGATTAGGATATGGTTGGGAGTCAGCGCCTCGAGGTCAAGTGGATCGGAGCTGACTGGTGTAATCGGTCGTGAGTTAAGGATACCTTCCACCTCTACCAATGCAGTATGCAAGACATCTGAGTCCACGCGTCGATTTAAAAGAATAGCATGAAGAGCTCGTTTGCAGGATTTTACCAATCTTTCTACCGCTCCATTCATATGAGGGGCATTTGGTGGATGGAAATTCCAATCAGTTCCGTGCTTGGTAAGGTTCTGCTCTATCCGATTGTGTGCAAGCCGCTCCCATCCTTCACGCATCTCTCGCTCTGCTCCTACAAAGTTTGTACCTCGGTCTGAAGTGATCGTTTTGGGGTAGCCACGGCGATTCACAAAACGAGTGAGACAGTTCAAGAACGCATCAGTTTCAAGTCTCGGCTACTTCCAAATGAATGGCTCTTACATTTGCACAGCAAAACAATGCACCATCTCTTTAACATGCACCATCTCTTTAACTCACTTCGACGCTGCTTAATGTAGATTGGACCAAACAGGTCAACAATGGTGTGCATGAACGGAGGTAAGAACGGTGTAAGGCATCGTCTGGGCAGATTCCCCATGCGAGGTGGCATCGGCTTTACTCTTCGCTTTTTGCAGTAGAGACATTTATTTGCATATTTCTTGATTTCCGATCTGCCTTTCACTAGCCAATAGCGTGTCCTTATTGAGCTTAATACGTAGTCGGTTGGACCATGACTAAGTCGGCGATGAGATTCGGTAATGATTAAGCGACCAATCTCCGATTTTCCATCGACAACTATTGGGTGACGGGTGTCGTATGTTACTGGGGCGTCTTGTATACGGCCTCCGACTCTTATTAATCCGTCGGTTGCGTCGATAAACGGCGAGAGCTTGACTAGGCGTGAATTCTTGCCGATTGGTTTGCCATTAGTTAACGCTTCCACTTCGTGAGGAAAGCTTTCGATCTGTGCTTGTTGAAGTAATAGCATTTCCGCTTGGTGCAAGTTGTCGGCTGTGAGGCTTTGGGTTGATCCAATCTTTCTCGCGTTCACCTTTTCACGCGTCAGGGCGATGAACTTTAGGACGTTTGCGACTACTCTCTTTGCTTTCTCGAAAGACGAGAATCGATTTAAGTTCATGATTGCTTGTTTTGACTCCTCAACTGCGGTCGACCGTGTATGGGCTTGTTTTCTTAGTTCCGGTTCTTCGTCGATTACCTCCCCCTCGTCAGGACGTCGGGGCCACATACTTTCAGCGTGATAAAGAAACTCAGGACCACATTGCCAGGTGCTTTCAGATGTTGTTTCTGGAAGTTTAAGCCCTCTTGTGCCGGCGTCGGCGATGTTCGCACTTGTTGGAACATACTTTACTTGCACCCTTCTTTCACCATCTGCTTCTAACTTCTTGAGATCTTCTCCAATATCAACGATTCTATGAGCAACATAATCGCGATACCTGTTGCTGGGTTGGTGAATCCAGTGAAGCACGACCATAGAATCAATCCAGAATGTCACCGCTGTAATGTGATAATCTAGTTCCTCAATCAACGTGAGCGCCAACTTTACCGCCATGCAAGCTGCGTCTAATTCCAGGCGTGGTATGGTCATTCTCTTCTTGGGGGCGACCCTCGACCTGGCGGCGACGAGGGAACAATGTACGTTGCCATTAGGAAAGGAAAAGCGTAGATAACATGCGGCACATTTTGCTTGTTTCGAACTATCGGAAAATACATGTAGTTGTACCTCACTTGGGGTGTCATCAGAGGATCTCAAGCATCTAGGAACTGTGACGCTTTCGACTGCCTGGACTTCGTCTTCCCATTTTTTCCACTCTCTGAGCTGGTCCTCTGGAATCTCGGTATCCCATCCTACTTCCTCCAAACAGAGTTGCTGCTGAAGTACTCGTCCTAGAATTGTGAACGGGCTTAGGCATCCATGTGGGTCCCAGTCTGAGGCAATGCGACTTAGGATCTCCCGTGGTGTCTTGGCTGGAGGTTTCTTTGGAGCTGATAAGTGCAGGCTGTCCGTCTGAGCGTTGTAATGCACGCCAAGAGCTTGGTATGTCGGTAAGTCACCAAGTTTCACTTCCTTCGTTGGGACTTTGTCAGATTCTGGGATCTCTTTCATCACAGTTTGGCTATTGCTTAACCATTTCGTGAGAGTGAAACCGCCGTGTTTCATAAGCTCGGTTAGTTCTTGACGTAGGGCAACGGCTTCGTCTTCATCGTCTAGCGAATTCAGTGAATCATCGAGATAGAGATTCTTTCTCACAGCTTCAGCGGCTGTTGGGTATTGCTGTTGAAAGTCCTCCGCATTTCGTTTCATTATGTAATTGGCGCAGGTGGGTGCTGAGCGTTCACCAAAAAGTCTTCTTAAACATTGGTATACACTTGGCTCTTCATCTTTCGAATCTCTGAATAGGAACCGTAGTGCTGGAAGATCTTCGTCTACTACTCGCATCTGCAGGAACATGTCTTTAATGTCTGAGCATAGTGCTATACGTCCTTGTCTGAACCTGAGTAACACACCAAACAGTGGATTTAGTAGATCTGGACCTGTATAAATAAAGTCGTTTAAAGACTTCCCATCGTATTTCGCTGCCGCATTGTACACGCGCCGTACTTTGCCCGGCTTCTTTGGGTTTCTCACGGGATGATGCGTCAAGTAGTTTATTCTGTTACTGACTGTCGCCTGTACTTCATGTTTATTTAGCTTCCTTATGTACCCCTTCTCCACGTCATTGGTGATAGATGCCTGATAAGCTTCTTTCAGCTGCGGATCACGATCTAAGCGGCGTTCGAGTGCGTGTAGCTGCGCTTCTGCTGCCTTTCGATTGTTCGGAAGCACGACCTCCGAATCTCTCCACAGGATTCCTGATTCAAAAGCGTCACCCGATGGTAATCTTTTTGTAGTTGTGTGCAAGATATACAATGCTTTCTGGTCTTCTACTGAATGGATTTCAGTCTTGTTTCTCACAGGTGGGATGGTCTCCATGTTGATCCACTGCTCGAGTTGCCATTGAAAATCCCTGTTGGTTCCAAGTTCAGTTGTGTGTTCCACATCAAGACATCGAACAGGCACATCGGAATCATCCTCCGCTGGAAGAGTTGCAAATGCTAACCAACCAAGTCGTGTCCGGATGGCGACTGGAGTTCCACGGGGTCCTTCTCGCGTTTCCAGCGGGGCTTGAAGGAAATAAGAATCCACTCCAATTACCAATTGCACTTCAGCTGCATCAACGGGTTGGAGATCAAGGTCCTTGAAATGATCAAACCTTGTTTCTGCTGTCCAATCAACTGCATATGTGGGATTATTCATTTGTGGAACCGTAAGAACTTTGTCGATGTGTATTTACTTCTTCGCCTCCCTGTGCCAGATATTGTCAGGTTGCGTATTACGCATGACTTGACCGTTTCGTCTGTATTTGCTCCCCCCAGTACTAACTGATTTGTTTTCCCCGAGAATCCTAATTGGTGGGCTAGCTCTTCCTTAATAAGTGTCGCGTTTGATCCACTGTCCAACATTGCCATCGTCTTCCTTTTCCCACTCGGCCCATACAGAATAACAGGTATGATCTGATGTACAATTCTTTGTTGACTTGCTGCAACTCGTCTGGTATGTACTTCATTGGAAGATTGGTTTTCTTTGCCTGGAACTTCTTCCTTTTTCTTCTCTTGACTAGTTTCCGGCCAGGAGCCTTGTTCTCCTGTCAGGTCTGCATTTGGTGGTTTGTACCTTCTTTCAGGAAACCGGGGGTAAATACCCACGCCATGGAGTAGGTAGTGATGATTCTGCTGGCAATTGTCGACAGTACATTTCAGTTTCTCCTTACATTGCTTTCGGATATGCTTTCCAAAACAGTTTAGACAAAGTCCTTTGTCTCTAATGATCTTTTCCTTGTCCTTGTTACTCAAGGATTTGAACATTCGGCATTGTTCCAGTGGGTGGTGTCCTCTGTCGTGGAAAGGGCACGCCCTTTGTTCCGTGTGATGGGCATCAGTTCTGTAGTTGGATCTTCTGTAGGCAGGTTTTGCTTCACGTTGACCTCTTTCTTGCAGAGGGTCCACAAATGCACGTTCCCATATCTTGGCTTGTCTTTCTAGCCATGATCTAAAGGTCTCCAGCGTAGCTCGCTTTGGATCATCCCCTTCGTATCTTGCCCATGCTAACTTTAAAGAAGGTGGTAACTTCCTGACAGCTTCTCTCACATGGTAACTAGATTGTATTTCGGCTTCCTTCCCCAGTGACTCGAACACCGCCACCAAACTGGAAATTGTTTCCGCCAACGACCTCAGCTGCTCCACGTTTCTTTCACTGACAGAAGTAAATTTTCGCAATTCATCATCATATGTTTGGATGATTTGGGTTGGTTCACCGAATCGTTCTTTCAAGATGTCCCAAGCCCTAGTATATTTTCCGCTGCCCGGAAGTATACCCCGAAGAGCATTCTCCGCCTTTTCAGTTGTATGTGTTAGTAATAAGTCCAAAAGCTCATCCTTGGTTTAATGTTTTTCCTGTTCCAACTTCTTGAATGTTGCTCTGAAGGCTGTGTATTTGCTCAGGGTTCCGTCAAACTTCTTAATCTGCGGATCTCTTGTCTTGAAAATTGCTTCTGCCAGTTTGACAAGAACACCGTCACTCTGTGTGGTTGCTGGGCCAGGAATTGTTGATGGTTCACAGTGCACTTCCGTTCTCTGCTGAGAGGTTACTTCCACTTGAGCTATGGACGGGCTAACTCTTCCATTCCAATCACCATGGCGACTCGCTCGATCTTCTATCTGTTCTTCAACTTGCAGCTCCATTTGTGCGGTAAAATGCTTTGTCCGTGCCTCTTCAACAGCTAATTCGGCTTCAGTTTGCATTATCAACTCTCGTTCCTCTTGTTCTATAGATTGTTTCCGTTGTTCTTGCTCATGTTGTAGACGTAACTTTTCTTCTTCTAGTCTATTCTTTTCTTTCTCTCTTTGCAATTCTATCTCTTTCTTTCGTTGTAAACTTTCCAATTCGAGCTTTGTTCGTTCAGCAGATTTCCTTGCTTCAATTTTTGAACTTGTTGTTGAATATACACTGGGTGCCTTCTGTGATACAACTTCCGATGATGGTTCATCCTTTCGTTCCATCAAGTGTCCATGTGTCTCCATTATTTGATTATACACTTCAGTCTCAAGCCTCTTGAACCACTCTGTTTCTGTTGCACTTTCCTTTTCACCCACTTGTTTGATTAAATCATTGTTCGTTTTAGCTACTTCCTCTAATGCCCTTTCCGTCGATGACATCACATAACGTAATAATGTGCGACTCGCTTTCTCCATAACAAGTTCCCTTAGTTTTCCCATTAGAGTTCGCAATTCGTCTGTTTGTTTGCGACGAAACCATCGTAGTTCACGTAAGGTAGGTTCCATTGTACCATCCTGCAATTCTTCAGCCATAATAATTTACTATTTTCGCCGGGTTTTCAATATAGTTTTTCGCAATACACAATATTGATGTTACATGAAGTTCATCACATTCACGACGAAACTAATTTGCATATATTTGTGATATTCGTGTTCAAATACGATTTTCTGCTTGGAAATACTTTAACTTACACTTCAATAAGTTCGTAGGGCGTTGGTAATCCGGCTCGAAGGACCAAAAGGTTGTTCTCGTAAACTCTAACGCCCTTGATAGCTCTGGTACGTGCAAAAGGGTCGTAACAATGTTCACAACAACAAACGGTTTTGTATGTTATATTATATTATTGTTCGATTGTCTACAAAAGAAATGATTACATACATAAATAAACAACACATAAAAAGATAAACTAGAACTATTAACGAATATCAAAGTCTATAAATTACCCTTTCTATACGTTTGTCTTTTGAAAATATACGTGCAAATACGTTCGTTCTACGTTTCATCAAAACTTCTGACTGTCACTGCGGTCAGCGGTTACTTAAGCTTAATACTTCATGACATAACTTAACAAATGCACCATAGTAAACTTTATTCCTGTAGATAAGTTTACTGGCAAATAGCTGTGATATTGTTACGGTAAATCTCTATTTAAAATTCAGTGTAGCCCCTTCAGAAGCAAGAGCTTGTTGCACCAGTAGGGGCCCTGAGTATATTCATTAACGTTCAGCTAAATTTGCAATTTGCCCATTAATCAGATAACAAAATTATCCCATTGGATGGCACATCATCCAAATCCACCATTCTTTGTCTCAGACAAATTTAAATATCAAGAGAAGGGTCTTGTGCCATAGACCGAAATCTCATTTCTCAAATTATTACTATACTCTGTCTCTAACCAATTTCTATGCATGGTTTATTTCACTTGACACATGTTGGAGAGATCCGTACAACAGACTGAGGTCCCACCAATTCAAAACTTTAATATTAATAAATTTTTTGGCTATTATATACGATTATATATATATATATATATATATATATATATATATATATATATATATATATATATATATATATATATATATATATATATATATATATATATATATATTAATGTCGAGATAACTATGACAAAGCTTACAATTGTACAAGAGAGGTACAGTCAATATTGCCAGTTGCAAAGCAGTTTTGTTTAATTAATTAATACGTTGGTTGCTCACAGCCCGCATGTGACTTTTTAAGGGGGCAGGGACGTGCTGGGGTCTTGAAAAGAACGCGGAATAATTAATCTTCATAATTATCTTTTTTCCCAAAAATTGTTGACGGGGAGAGCAAAAATATTTCCGGACACACCATTTTTCAGTAACTTTTGAATTAATGTACTGTAATTTGTTAATATTTTCGTAAATTTCGATTTCGAAAATATTAACGGCTCCTTGATTGAGCGTGAGCTCTGTACTGTGAAATATCAGACCGATGTTTTTTAGTATGGACTGAGCAACGAAGGAGCGAGATCCATGCAAAAAACAGAAGTCT